GTTAGAAAGAAGATGTCAACAAAGTATAACATTAGTCAGGTACCAAATTTGTTTATTCTGAATTTTTTCTGTTTTCCAGGTTTTTATTAGAATGACAATCTTTAAACTTCTTAGAGAACTAATTTCTATGGAAAAATAAGAAAGTTATAGTTGATTTAGAATTTTACGTGTCATTATATTGTATCCTGAAGTTCTGATGAAAGTAGTATATAAGAAAAACAGCTCTCACAGGCTTATAAATGAATATGTTTGTATAATTTTTGAACAGGATATTCCAGATACATTGCAATCTAAATTGAAACAATAAAATGATTTTAAGCTTCCATACAAAAGTAGAAAAAAAATTATTTCCATAGTGTTTGATTTGGTATGAATGTACCTAAGCTATTTCTATTGATATTTGTTATGCCTATATGTGGACTATGTTTTGATCTAAATTAAGATTTCAATATTTGAAATTGTATTTTCTTTCAGGGTTTGGGAAATATGAATAGCCTGTAATATCTGTGAGGTTTTTATGTTATTTGTAATCAATAAATTTCAAGACTCTGTTCGCCATGTTGTTTTTAATAAACATTTTTCTGTAATCCAAATAATTTTTTAAGATGATATTTTTGTTTTTTTATGAATAAATTTTTAGCTACTTTTCTTTCGATATTCACCAAGCTCCAAACTTGTAGTCTGAAAGACAACATCCCTCAAAACGAGATCAAATAGCTATCTCAAGCCACACTGAAGATCTTACAGAATGAATAGAACTGCACCAGCGGAGAGAACACCTCACAATCACAACAACAACATCAAAAAAACATGACTAAAAACAAATCCAAACTGCATTACTGAATAATCAAACCAGGCCGCACTAATGAATTCATCTTTAAACAATTTGAAATTTGTTTAAATGACAAAAACATATTTATCAGCAAAATGAAATTATTTTTTTATTTTCTGCGAGTCTCATTCTATAATTGAACAGTCTTTTTGTTATCTAAATGAATGTTAAATTCTTTTAAGATGAATTCTTTAATGCGGCCAGGTTTGATTATTCTCTGGTGTATTTTACTTTCAGTTTGGATTTGTTTGCAGTAATCTTTTTCGTCATTGCGAGATGCTATCCCA